TCGCCTGGCCCACACCCAGAGTATAGAGCGTTGTGTACAAGTGAGTGAGGCCAGCAGTCACGTACAGCCAGGAGAGGAGGGAAGGCCATCCGAGCCAAAGTGGTCAGCAGGGAGGTGATGAGTAGAAACAGAAGCAAGAAAGACATGTTCTATGGGTGTGCAGCAACACCGGGTCGTAGTAGTAAAACAGGTTTTTGTATTTGATGATTTTGTTTTCTAAAGGAATATTAAATTTAATAAATGTGTCAAGATCATTCGTTTCACTATTCTGGATCATTTTCATCCTAATAAATTAACCTGATACATTTACTTTACTTTAAATAAGCTATTTATTGGTGTTGGTAAAAGGGTGGGAATACTGAATTTTCATAAGATTTCAAGTTAAAATTTACCTAGCAAAAAATGAAAACTTTTCAAATCTGAAGATATCATATGATTCTACACATAGAACTACATCATTAATACCATGGGCCGATTTTTCAAACTCAAAAAAAAAAATTCGCCTCCGTATGACACACCCTATTTATATAGTAAACAAGAAGGCTCTAAGAGGGGATACCAACATACAGTCAACTGAGGGAACAACGCAGGGGGACACTGTTGCAATGGCAATGTACGCAATAGGCCTATCCGTGCTCCAACAAACAATATAATTTGAAACAACTGAGGTCAAGCAAGTGGCGTACGCTGATGACCTTACAGGAGCAGGAAAAGTGGAGGACATCAAAAAGTGGTAGGATTTGGTAACATCACGAGGTCCACAAATAGGGTACCACCAAACGCCAGCAAGACTTTCCTCATTGTGAAGCCAGATCATCATGAACGGGCAATGGAGGTGTTCGGTGGAAGTGAGGTCAAAATAACAAATGATGGCCAAAGACACCGAGGCACAGTAATTGGCACGACGGACTTCAAGACCGAGTACGTAACGGGAAAGGTGTTTGAGTGGGTTAGGGAAATCCAAGCTCTGTCTGAGATTGCTAACACAGAGCCACATGCGGCTTTTGCAGCATTCACCCATGGAGTCAAGCATCGCTGGAACTACCTGATGAGCACTATCCTTGATATCAGACCCCTCCTCCACACTCTGGAAGAAGCTATCAGTGTCAATTTCATTCCCAAAGTAGTGAAACACCCTCACTTAACCCCAGCAGAAAGATCACTCCTTGCACTACCACCGAGACTGGGAGGAATGGGACTGACCAATCCAGAGGAGATTGCTGCCACCGAACATCAAAACTCAGTTAAGCTCACGGCAGCCCTAACGGACCACGTGATAGCTCAGAACGCAACAGGTGAGGTGGATACCAGTGAAGTAAACAAGATTCGAAGGTCCATTATGACAGAAAGACAGCACGGCCAAAGTGATAAGTTGCACCAACTGTTGCTGCAAGTTCCAGAGAATTAAAAAAAAAAGTAGCTATAGCACAGGAGGTGGGCGCCTCGAACTGGTTAACTATGTTACCAATAAGGGCAAATGGTTTCAGTCTCAATAAACAAGAATTTACAGATGCCATTGCTCTAAGGTAGGGTAAGCCAGTAGAAGGTTTGCCCTCCCAATGCGTGTGTGGCTCCTCCTATGACGTCGATCACGCCATGGTGTGCAAGAAAGGCGGCTTCATATGCATGAGGCATGACGAAGTAAGGGATATCACAGCAAATATGTTGAAGGAAATCTACCGCGATGTCATGGTAGAACCGACCCTCCTCCATTGGACGGTGAGATCTTCCAACATAGGACTTCAAACACATCCAACGAAGCCCGTGTTGACGTCAGTGCTCGAGGATTCTGGAAGCGGGGACAGCAAGACATCTTCGACATCAGGATTTTTTATCCCATGGCCGCATGTCACCGTAACTTAGCCCTCGATGCTGCACACAGGAGGAACGAGAACGACAAGATAAGGGAATATGGGGAGAGAATTCAAAACGTTGATCAAGACAGCCTCACAACCTCTGGTGGGATGGGACCAAGTGCAAGATGTTTCTACGCCAGACTCACGGAGGTGATCTCCGAACAGAAGCAGCAGCCCAGAAGTTATGTTACAGCCTGGATGAGATGTTAACTGTCCTTCTCTCTCCTTCGGTCGGCTTTGCTCTGCTGCAGGGGAACGAGAGTTTCGGTCCCAAAGCCGACAACAGCTGCAGATATTGACTATGAGGCTACAGTCACTGAATGCCGCATAGATGTGCGGCTCAACTTATTCAACACAACTAGGATAGCTACTTATGTATTAGGATATTTAATATTAAGTTAATGAAATGGCGGCGAAGGTGTGGCTATTGGGGGAGGCTGGAGTAGTTTTAGTAGTAGTGGTTTTAATCGTGTGGCAGTAGCAACTTTTTATATATTGAATATGGGAATACACTTCCTTGAAGGTTGCTAAACTCTTCTCAAGGGCTTCACGTTCGTCAGCAAACTTCCTCGCCACTTTCACCAACCGGGTTTTTGTTGCTGGTTCATATGGCATGTAGATGTATAGAGACTTCCCTCGTCGTCGGTAGTATGGAGCAACTTGATAGTGAGAACTTGATGTTCTTTGTCTACACATACGTGAGTTACATCCGGAATAACACCATTACCCTCTCTTACAATATATCCCCTACCGTCAATGTTATTTCCAAGTTCTACAAAATCCTCTTTGAAACACATCATACATATATTGGCAAATATGTCTTGAGATATGTAAACTCCACCATTTACTGTTTTAGTGTCATCTTTTTTTCCTCCCATTAAATCACCCAACTTTCCTCCATCGAATACAGAACTTGTTGCCATAGTGATGCCGGCATCTATTTTAGATGTATCCCAAAAAATTAAGGGGTCGGAAATGACTCTCCTCGACTGTAATGTTACTTGTCCATTGACCCGTTCAATAGAGCGTGTCATATCTTCAGCATCGGAGAAATGGAACTTGTCCCTGAAAAAATACATTGTCGAATCGGTGTTGCCGTCGATGTCAGTAAACGTCTCTACAAGTTTTTCATCATTCAACACAGTTGACACGTCAGTTAATACTCCTATTGCACAAGTTAATCCTTTTGGATAAGGTATTAGTCTACGCACATGGTGGAGTATATTACCAGTAGTTGTCATTCTCTTCTGGGATGATTGTAAAATACCGTGAATAAAGTAACTTAGTGTCCCTATAACAGTAGAACAATCAAGAACTACATGATCTCCTTCATCATCTTCAGCTGCTGCAGAAAATACTTTAAAGCAAACATTATTATAATATATTATCGACATTTTTCTGTCTGTACACTCTTCACAAAGCAGCAACCTAGTGGATGTAGGAGCGGACGTCTTGCGTCTGTCAGTGACCAACGTTTAACTGAGAATACAGTACTGTAGTGCTCATAAATACCCTTTCCCTGTAGCTCAGCTCAGACGGATTGGGAGTCTTCGGAATTCATATTAACTGTTTTGTTTGGAAAACAATGTACAACAGTTTTGGGAAAACATTTTATGGTGTAGGATATCATAACCGTTAGTGAATCGTTCTTACGGTAGTTCGTATGGACTACAGATCTAGTAGTTATGAACTTCGTATCTCAACAGATTTAGTGAACCTCGGGCCTGGAGGTCACATAAATAGATGAAGTATATAAGTTTGTTTATATTTGCTCTCTAGAATTGTTCTTCAGTTTTTTCCTCTTACTCTACACTGTTACACACAGAACGTAAACACCGCCAGTGATCAGTGATGGAAGGTGCTGAGAATATACAGTAGTGCGAGTTACAGACAATAGAAGTTTATATTCCACTTTGAACTTTCTCAGATTAAGGAGTACAAGACTTATGAAGACTTAAAACCAAGAAGAAAATGGGAGACTTTCATTGCAAGAGAACATAGTGACGTCAGCACCAAAATTTGGCGATGTGAGTGTCAGTTGCTAAAACACAGGAAACTTCATATTCGTGATGTTATTATAAGATGATAAGTTAAAATCTCATGAATGATATGACGGAATAATACGTCTCTTCATATTTTTTACATTCAAATTGTATGAACCAAAAATGTGGCCAAGATTAGATTTTTTTAGATTGCCCCCTAGAGGGCTAGTTTATTGGGCACCTCCAACGCCCATCTGGGAAGCATGCTAAGTTCATGCTTACCTTTATGACTCATGCATTAAGGGCATAAAAGCCTGAAGGGTTTTGTCTGCAAAAACATAAAGTGCCAGAACGATGAGTGTGTGGGGGGAAAGTTCCCGGTACATGTCATCTGTTTATGGCAAAGCGTGGCAGGTCCCAAATAATTTCAAGTGCCAGGCCTGTGACTAGGAGGAGGGATATCTGGTCAGGGAGGGAAGAGGTGTTGGTAACGGCTGGGGACCTGTAGGAGGAGGTTAGAGGGCAAGTGAGGATGTAGAGAGAGAAAGTGTGAGAGTCGGGTTGACCACAAAGTTTACAAACAGGGTGGCCAGGCTCACGATTGTCAATGTACTCCTATAGGTACTTGTACCCTTGGCGCGTTGTTTCAGGTTTTGTCCAATGTTCGTCGAATGCTTCTCGTTGTGCAGCGTGTATGCGAGATTTGAGATGATTCAAGGAAAGGGCGAAGGTGGCTTCAATATCTTCTTCTTGTGTCGCTACTTTGGCAAGCCGATCAACAGTGTCACGGGCAGTTATTCCTATATGTGACGGGATCCAAATAAACTTGATACGGATGTCGTCAGTTTGTTCTAGCCCGGCTACGGCGGCTGTGTTGGGCGGCAGGGGAGGAGGGGGAGGGTAATTTGAACCTCGCTAGTGCAGAAGTGCTGTCACTGATTATAAGGAGGTTCCGGCGTTCAGTGCGAGCATAGGTCGCCCCCTCATGAATGCCCGCGAGGATGGCTATGCTTTCGGTGTCAGTGGAGGAGGTCCAGTCGTGGACCGTAATTTTCCTGCGGGCCTGGCGCTCAGGAATCCACACAACTGCCCCAGCGCTGCCCAGCGTGGTAACAGGTTAAATAACTCCACCGACGCGTGACATTCAGAGGTTGTGAGATCACGCAAATAAAGGGAGCGAAACCGTGGAACGTCGATCAGTGCTCTCGTCAACCGCTCACCTCCACCTCGCGTTTCCTGTGCTCTACAGATCACTTACTAACTAACTAACTGTAAGACACACAAACAACTTCTCATACCTGTTGACCCTCACAGTAGGACATGCGAAATGGCGAGTTAAAGTTAAATATTATTAGCTTACTGCAGGGTTGTTTTACGGCAAAATGGTCTAATGCGTGAATGGTCAAGGCCACGATCATTATACAACAGTCGTTTAACAATCAAAATTAACCATAAGCACGACTCACTGTTTATAGCATTAGTATGTGATAAGACTCTTCACCCATTGCTTCAGGATTTTGATAAAGAACAATGTGTTTTTTCCACACAGTAAAATTATGCAGTATCGACGTCCCAACAAGCCTACTGATTTGAGTGAACGGGCCAAGCTAGTGTGTATGTGGGTGGACGGGATGTCTTGTCGAAACATAGCAAAGGAGACTGGCAAAAGCGTTTCAACAGTATGTAGGTGGATAAGACACTGGAAACTAGAGGGCAACATCAACTCAAAACCTCGTATTGGCAGATCATATAAACCTAGTGCCACAGTTCGTTCGGCGTTCCATCCTCCGTTGTCTTGGAAGTATGGGCCTTCTCCTACATACTGTGAGTGTCATTTACAACCTCTTTAAAGACAGTAACTATCTTATTATACGAAGTGGCTTTAGTTGACTAAAGATAATGATGCACACTTTCAAAATGTTTAAGTTTATTTTGATTTAATGTTATAAATTTTTCCCCCACTGGATCTTAATTTGGTTCTTACGGACGAGTAGAAGGAAGTTGTCTGTACATTCAGGGTACACGTAGGCCGTCGAGGATTGAAAAATATCTCTATTCACATTTGCAGCAAATATGTCGACATCGTCACGTATGGTGGCACTGATTGCGTTGCTGATGGTGAGAAAGTGTATCGGTAGTGCTGTGGAAGGTAAGGCCGGCCTCAGTGACCAAACAGACGATTGGTTGACGGGATCCGTGTATCAAAGCGGTGTGGGGGTGGACCACCGAATAAACCAGGTGGGCGAGGTGGTGAGCCAGGTGGTGGAGCAACACCTTGCTGGGTGTCACTTGGTGCTGGTCGATACAACAACACAAAGCCCAGTGTTCTCAACGATGGTCAGGTGAGTAAAATAATTAGAGCTCCACATCATTAACCGAGGATCAATATTTTGCCTTACATGTGTGATGTATTGGAGAGAAAACCAGCTCCTTACAACTAGTCACTGGGCTTTATCCTCGATCACATCAGCTGTTTCATTTTCTTCTCATTTACATGTTTCTTCTCCCTACACGTATTATATGAGCTCTACTTTATTTATGTTCACGTTACCGAAATAATACACCTATAAAATAATGCTACAAATTGTGAAATTTTTCAAAAGACTAAAAACTAAATATATTTTCAGGTTGCAATGTGGGAACCAAAATGGGTACACAATTCTCCTTCTTTCTAATAAAATGTTCTTTCGCGTCCTGGGTTCCACCCCAGTTTACCACTTGTGAATGATATTTAGCTTTACAAACGAAAAAGTAAAAGTGGTCGAGTGCACTTTATGCTAACGTGTCTGATTACATAAGCATAGGTTTAGTTTTGTGTGTACTGGGGGGAATGGAGGAAACGATGCTACATAAAAATTTAACCATCATGGGGTATAATGTTTATGGTTTGCCTGTCCGTCCTTATGTTCTTTTGATTTTTTATTTTATATATAAAACGGATCTTTTTTTTTCCAGCCAGTTGGTAAGAATAAGAGAGAGTGTGATGGTGGTCGAGGCGTGGCGGTTGTTCTTACAGACGCAAGTAGCCACAAAGGAGTCAGTAAATAACTGGAATAATGGAGATCAAGTTCTCAAGGACCAGCTAACCAGGGACAAGCTCCTGCAGGGGTTGTGGGGAGACGCTACACTCACCTGCCGTGCCCTCTTCATACACCTCGACAACAACAACAAAAGCCTCTTTTTCATGTGAATATTGATGAATGATTATGTCGTTTGTTGGATGCAAAGTAGATGAACTTAACTAGGAGAATAATATACTGTACAGTACTTGGTTCTATTAAGCAGACAAAAATATTTTGCGAGTAAGATAGGAAACATCATTCATAAGTAAATAAAGTTTGGAAAGCACTTAGTGCCATTCAGAGGAAAAATTCCATTATATTCCCTGATTTCCCCAGAGCAAGTTATTACACCTGGGGTAGGCAGTTGAGTGACGGTGTTTTGTCATAATTTGGTGTATAAAACACATCCTCACCACAACTTACCTTGACATGTGAACTAATGACGGGATACACTGTAGCTGAGTACCTCACATTTTAAACAGTAGATTGTTTAAAGTCTAAGAACTAAATAAACTGCATAAAAACTAAGCTCATATAATAATTACCTGAAATGAATGATTAATAACTTACAGAATTTTATTGGAAAGAAAAAAGGTGATGTAGATCAATCAAACAGTGAAGTTCACCATCAGAATTTTTTCAGTGTAGTAACCAGTGATAAAAAACGATATAAGAAAAGTAAAGATTGATCATTAAATTAAAGTGGCTACGGACGTGAAAATTAACCCTAAAAGATGTTTCAAAGAGTTATGAAAATAAAGACCGTGAGAAGACGGGGCCAACATATAAGATTTAGGTCATCTTACTGATACCTAAAAACAGGGCAGGCAAAATCCTCATTTAATAATCTAAAAGACATCATTAAAGAGACATTAACATTAATTGGAGAAAGAGGCTGCTGAAAGGTTTTATATGGCAAGGGCTATTGTATGGGACAGATGCGTGTAGAGCGGTTCTCTGATTGATTGATTCACAAAAAAAAGTTAATGTTGACTGAAAAATGGCAGACACAAATTAATGTGGAAAACTTAAAGTTATAATACTAGGGATTGGAAAAGGGGAAATAGATTTCAGTTGAAAACCATAAATATTAAGATATTCGAGTGTGAGGAATATTTTGAGAAAACTATAAGAAAGGACCTCAAACATAGACAACAATTCGTTTTGGGGAAAAAGTACTAATGTTCATATCTAGGAGCGTTAGTAATTAAGTTGAGGGATTTTATTTTAAAACTATTTCTTGCATATGTGAGAAAACAATTGAATTATGCGATTCAGTTTTGGTCACCGTATTAAATAATGACCTAACAAGATGAAAAGATTAATCCGTGGAGTGAGGATGAAGTGTATAAAACGAAGATGGGGTTAAATAAACATTCAAATCAAGAGCAAACTTATCACAATGGTTTTCAATTAATGAGATTTCGATTTAGGATAAAATTAGGTAAATGTTGGTACGGAAATAGAGTTATGAATAAGTGAAGCTCTATCAATCACCATTATTAACACGATGTCTTTACGAAGCTTTAAATATAGGTTGGGTATACAGTACATATGAGTGACAAGGGTTAGTGTAAACATGGCTGCCTTGTATAGACCAAAAGATCTGCTGCAGTTTCCTTCATTCCTTGGTCATTATATATACTTGTACTTCTAACATCTCCCAACTTATCAACTTTACCACATTGTCATCACAATGTATTTAACAGTTGGTCTCACTTTGTGCTTATGTGTGTCGAAACTAAATTAAATCCTGAGGAAAATAGTTTACTAGAGATGACTTCTGTGTAATAATAATAATTAATAATAATAAACGGTTTATTAATAGAGTTGCAGCCGGTGTCTGAAAATATACAGACTTACATTTGATTTAGACATAATGATATAATATGCATTGAATACATTTACAGGGCTGTACAGTACATAAATCAGGAGTTGTTTATTATTTTAACAATAGATGGGATGGTGCTGTTCTTATATCTATCGGTGCGGGCTCTTATGGGCTGAATTTTGTTATAGTGGCGAACTGCGCTAGTTGGGTGGGGGGCTGCAGGTGGCAGGAGGTGGGGATGACGAGGGTGGTGCAGTAGTCCACTGTCAAACCTTTCCAGTGCTTGGTGGTGGAGGTCACTGAGGGATGGCATTTCCAGGGTGGAGAGGGCGTTGATGTAGCCGGAGTATTCTGCGCCGAGCATAATTCTGCAGGCCCTTTTCTGTACCTTCTCTAGCTAACGTTCTTGGGTGGAGTTGAGAGAAGACGACCAGGCTGGTCGTGTGTGTGTGTATGTGTGTGTGTGTGTGTGTGTGTGTGTGTGTGTGTGTGTGTGTGTGTGTGTGTGTGTGTGTGTGTGTGTGTGTGTGTGTGTGTGTGTGTGTGTGTGTGTGTGTGTGTGCGTGTGTGTGTGTGTGTGTGTGTGTGTGTGTGTGTGTGTGCTCGAGTCCTTACCGGAACTTTGAATTTACACATTTTGACGCAGGTTCCTGGAGTGGTGTGAAGTGTGGCGACGACCAGAGATTCCTGTGGTGGTGGTGGGTGAGAGGGAGGGAGTGGAGACCGTCCTCCTTCACCACAGTCTTCGCAACACTATTCACACCCTTTACCTCGCCCTCCATGACCTCCCCCTCCACAGAGGCCAGAGACCATCGCTCAACACGAGATCTGGGAAGAAAAATATCATCAGAGGTAATAAGTTAAGCAAGACACAAAAGCCAGTAATTGAATATGGTTCTGTCTTCCAGTAAGGCATCCCTGGAGTGAGGAGACCACAATACACAAATTTTGTTTTGCCATGACGGCGGTGAGACAAGACGAGAAAGAAACATTCTTCAGCGGTTGCCTGGTTTACACCGAACTTCGCTTCGGCACTCTTGCTTGTCTTGCAGGTTGGCGCAGCTCGCTTACGCGCGCACGGTCAGTTAGAATGGGTTTGAGAACAGAAAGTACGATGTAAAACAATAAATGTAAGTTTTTCATATCCATGTTAATTTGGCATAAACTGCGAGGTGCCTAAATTTGAGGTATGTATCATCAGTGAAGGTGATCGATAAATATTGATATTAAAAAATGTGTTTATATTTTAATAAAGAAAATCCTCATGTGTATCATGTTTTAAGCTGGGCTCTATATATTAATCAATCAGAGTATCCTCTTCATACCAGAGGGTTGGCAGCCACAGTCGTCGTCTCGAAACGTTTTGGGGACCAGGTATTAATTTCATTCACCCACTCTAGTCTCTCCCACCCTCAACTTTGTCCAGTAATCACTAAAAATTAAGTAATTACCTAATGCTCCAGGTTATACATAAGAATAATATTGTAAACAATAAAAATATTTTCTATGATATTCATCTTGATTAAACAATAATTAAGTGATTACTATATATATATAAAATCCTGGAAAAAAATCATTATTTACATATAATATATCTTGCGTGTACAGAAAGTGAGACTGAGCTGGTGTGGATGTACAGACGGTGTTTGTACTGTGACAAAGGTGATGCTCAGCTCCAACCCCTCCACCGGGGGAGCCTGACAGCCGGCCTCCAACGCGGTGTGAACCTCTTCCCAGGTGTGTCAACTACACAATAATGAAATTTTTCACTGGTGGTAATATTTTTTTTCTTTTATGCCATCAAATTTCCTTTTCATCCTCCTGTTCATAGTACAACAATATAAATATACTGTACGTAGATGTCACCATTATGAGATAAGATTACTGAAGTTGAATTAGGACGAAAAATATATCAGTGTTCCCAGCGTATTTGTGGTATGGTAAATCTTATGTAATATAAAGACAACCAAGAGACGTAACACACATGTCTTCACTCCCATAAATTTCCAGAGCAACTAGACAACTTCATGGGCCACACATTCCAGCTGGTGGTGAATCGTTACCTACCCTTCGTAAACATCGAGATGGACAAAGAGCCGGGCACTCCGCTGGCTACCCGAGACTCCCTTAATACCCGTATGCTCCATGTCATCGCCACTAGTCTTAACTTTACGTAAGTTGGACTTATTCCTGACACACTTCCATAGAAAAAATAACATAAAATTAATAACTTAATATGACTTAAAGTCATTATGCTTTGCATGTAGTTATTATTTCAGATTAATGCATAAGTTTAAATAACTTGAATTTAGCGTAGATGAACGTCTCGTTATCATTACTATCCTTAGGCACAGACTCTGCCCACTCATTATCTCTGACACAGTGGTATTCCATCATAAGGTAACCAGATTATACCTAAATTATGTAGGTCAGGAAGGATTATTCTCGGTTTATTTAAGTCAGGTTCGATTAGTTTTTATGTGAAAATATTTACATACTGTATATGTATTATAAGATATTCATGACTGTTAATGTCTCGTAATTTTTTTCCAAAATAAATGCTTAAAAGTTGTCGGTAATGAACATTTATCCCTAATATGTATATATATATATATATATATATATATATATATATATATATATATATATATATATATATATATATATATATATATATATATATATATATATATATATATAAGAACATAAGAAAATAAGAAAATAAGGAGTCTGCAATAGGCCGGTTGGCCTGTGCTGATAACCACAAGGAAACAAGAAAACACGAAGTTCCCAAGCGCTTTCTTGTAATTCACATCTTCAGGGGTGAGTACAGGCTAAGGAGTAATACTTGACAAGGCTAATATATACAGTAGAGAGTGAGATCAAGTCCCTAGGGGACAACAGGTGTCCACAATTTTTCGGTCATAAGGCAGTGACCCAACTAATCTTCTTAATAAAAAAAAATGACCATGCCATCTCCAAGCACAGCAACTGTCCGTACTCAGGTAATTGGGTAAGATGACCCAACCGTCTAACCTGGTTACAAATCTTCCTAATCACAAAATTATCCAGGTTGTACATACCATTACTCAAATTCATGTTGACAGATTCGGTATGTTTAATGAGACTGGATTCTATAATGTTCCTACTAACAATTGAATTACAAGGTAATATTGAGGAGGTATTATCCAGACAATACAAGGCTTATTATCTCTCATATGAATGAACAGAGCATTGGATTCCTGGCCTGTCCTAACACTATATTTATTCTGTTAAATTCTAGTTATAAACATATGTTTTACAGTGCATGAGTTTTTAAATGTCACACTAACATTCCAGGTTTTCAGTTGTATAGGAATTTGAGAGAAATTTTTGTTAAATAAGAAAATAAGGAGTCTGCAATAGGCCGGTTGGCCTGTGCATGGCAGCTCCTGTCGAGAGTTATTACCACTCTCTATCATCCATGAATCTATCTAGCCTCCTTTTGAAACTTTCCAGCATTCCAGCACTTACTACAAAGTTGCTAAGCTTGTTCCACTCGTCCACCACCCTATTTGTAAACCAGTTCCTACCTATCTCCCTCCTAAACCTAAACTTATCCAGCTTAAATCCGTTGCTACGAGTCCTATCCTGCTCGGATATTATAAGAACTTTATTTATATCCCCTTCATTGATTCCTTTCACCCACTTAAATACTTCTATCATATTTCCCCGCATTCTTCGTTTTCTAGGGAATGCAAGTTTAGTTTCTTTAACCTATCCTGATATGGAAGGCTTCTAAGTCCCGGAATCATTTTCGTCCTTCTTCGCTGCACCGACTCCAGTGAATTGATATCCATTCTATAATAAGGGCACCAGAACTGAACCGCATAATCGAGGTGCAGCCTGACTAGCGCAAGACATAGTTGCAATAAGACCTCTGCACTCTTATTACTTACACTTCTAGATATAAAACCCAATACTCTGTTTGCCTTATTTCGAACATTAGCGCACTGTTCTCTACGCCATAGGTCCTGGCTTACAAGTCGACTTCTCTAGGTTGATGTTGCCAAGGCTGTAGACATTGACAGTATTTGTTCTTCCAATATTAAGTACACTGCACTTGCTGGTGTTGAAATTCATTTGCCATTTATCTGACCATTCCTGCAGTTTATTTAAATCCTCGTGTAGTGCATTTGCATCCTGCCCTGAATTAATCTGCCGCCCTATTTTGGTGTCATCCGCAAACTTGCTTATGTCACTGCTGATCCCAGTATCTAGATCGTTTATGTAGAATATGAACAAGAGTGGGCCTAGTACTGACCCCTGGGGAACCCCACTGGTTACACAGCCCCACTCAGATTTATCACCATCTACGCTGACTCTGCGTTTTATCGGTGAGCCATGATTTTATCCAATTTAAAACTTTCTCCTCGATACCATGAGCCTTAACTTTTTCTCAGAAGCCTCTGATGCCTTACTCTATCAAATGCTTTGCTAAAGTCTAAGTAAATAACATCGTAATTTTCGTCATTATCTACTACCTCGAATACTTTCCTATAAAACGTCAGTAGATTTGTGAGACAAGATTTTCCCTATGTAAACCCATGTTGAGTGTCGTAGATTAATTTGCTTTTCTCTAACTTTTCCCACTAATAACGTCAAACTGATCGGCCGGTAAATTGACACTGATGCTCTGTCTCCCTTTTTGAATATGGGTAATATATTTGCCTGTTTCCACAAGTCTGGCACAACTCCCGTGTCTAATGATTTTGTAAATAAATTTACGAGGGGTCCGCGAATCTGTTTCCTACATTCTTTCAAGACTAGAGGGAAAATTTCATCCAGCCCTAGGGATTTTATCTTCTTTAATTTATTTATCCTCTTTAGAACTTCCTCTTTTTAGATAGTGATATTCTTTAATTTCTCTTCTTCCTTTCCCCTAAATGTCAGTTCCACCTCTGGAATTTCCTCGTGAATTTCTTCTGTGAAAACTGATAAAAAGTAGTTGTTCAATGCTTTGTTTATTTCTCACTGTCATCGATCACTCCCCCCACCCCCCACCCCCGATTCTAAAGGCCCAACTTTGTCCTTGACCGTTGTTCTATATACCTGGAAAAATCCCTTGGGATTCGCCTGGGATTCTCTTGCTATCCTGATTTCATAGTCTCTCTTTGCTTTCCTTACATTTTTCTTAACATTCCAAGATAGTTCATTATACCTATTTCTGAACTGCTCCTCCCCTCCCTTTAATTTCTTATATATTCCTTTCTTTATTCCTATGTCATGTTTAAGTTTCCTGGTCATCCACCTTGGCTCATTCGAATTTGACCTAATTTTTCTGTACGGAATATTTTGTTCTTGTGCTTTACGTAGTACACGAGTGAATATATTATAGTCACGATCAATTGTTGGGTCAGATGTGACCTCACCCGTTCCTACCAGGGACTGACCTGACTGTTCCCAGGTGACCTCACCTAGGTACATTCTTAACCCCTGATAATCCGCTAATGGAAAGTTTGGGACTCTGACCATATTGTCAATGTTTTTCGTTTCCTAATTTAGGGTGAACCTGATTTCTCTGTGATCACTGTTATCTAGTTCCTCCCCCTACTGTGATATCTCTGATAATATTTTCTTTATCTGTTAATACTAGGTCTAATATATTGTCACCTCTAGTAGGTTCTGTAATTAGTTGTTTCAAAAAATTGTCCTGTACAGCGTCTAGGAAGTCTTCAAATTCATAGTCGCCTACAATGTTGTCCAAGTCAATATTTCTGAAGTTGAAATCCCCCATAATGCACAAGTTGTTGTATTTTGTTGCCCTACTCATTTCCTTCCATATGGGCTGAGCTGCTTCTTTCCCAAGACTTGGGGGCCTGTAAATCACTCCCATAATTATTTTTTCTCTTCCTTCCATAATTTCTACCCACACAGACTCGGTTCCTATTTCACCCTTTATTGGATTATTATAACTAAATTTTAATGTGTCCCTGACGAAGAGTGCGACCCCTCCCCCCTTCCTACCTTCCCTGTCCTTGTGAAAAAGGTTGTACCCTTCTATGTGGTAGTCTGAAAAAAAAATTTGCTCGCTAGATTCATACATGCATAGAACTAGACTTTCTTATATATATATATATATATATATATATATATATATATATATATATATATATATATATATATATATATATATATATATATATATATATATATATATATATATATATATATATACATATATTGCATGACCCATTAAGGTACATCTTGCGTCAGCCCCTGGATAAGAAGTGGGGGACTCCAGCAGACGACGGCAACTGGACAGGGATCGTGGGCGACTTGCAGCACCAAAAAGCGGACTTCTCCCTGGATGTGACGCTCTCAGAGTCAAGAAGCACCGTCATGGACTACTCCAGGGTCTACCAAAATGATCCTTATGTTATTTTGTCGCCTAAGCCCTCATCTCTACCGCGGCACCTGTCTCTCACCAGACCTTTTGAAGGTAATAATATATTCTTTCCATCGTTAGTTGGTCCTGGAGTTGATTACTATCATGTCTGATAGTTAACTGTTGTACCTCACTGTGATATAAGAAGTCTTGTGACCTGCAGTGGTGATGTAACATTGAGTTTAACATTCGTACATGAGAAAATAAGGAGTCTGCAATAGGCTGTTGGCCTGTGCATGGCAGCTCCTGTCGAGAGTTACTACCACTCTATCATCCATGAATCTATCTAGCCTCCTTTTAAAACTTTCCTGCGTTCCAGCATTTACTACAAAGTTGCTAAGCTTATTCCACTCGCCTACCACCCTATTTGTGAACCAGTTCCTTCCTATCTCCCTCCTAAACCTAAACTTATCCAACTTAAAACCGTTGTTACGAGTCCTATCGTGTGATTATGAAATAGTTATTATAAATGACTGATGATAGGACACCAATTTTTGCCTTGAAGTAAATGTAAATTGTTGCAAAACTGCTTTGAACACATTATCACCAGTAGTCTTTAATGGGAGGGTCGCATTAATCTATACGGTAGCCTGGTCTAGAAACAACATATCTGAAGATGTTTATAATTTTGTCACCCAAATTGGTTACAAGCGAGGTGGAACGTCCTCAAAACTCTGCAGGAGTCAGTCGACTTTTTGGGGTTTCTCAGTAATTAAAATGTTTCTTTTCTCCCCCAAATGGTCGATTGATTATTTTTTAAATAACGAATTTATGTTAACAGATCTGGAGGAAATTAGAATCTTATGAAATTGATCAAACGTGCAGTAATAGGGTGTGTCATACGGAGGCGAATTTTTTTTTTTTGAGTTTGAAAAATCGGCCCATGGTATTAATGATGTAGTTCTATGTGCAGAATCATGTGATATCTTCAGATTTGAAAAGTTTTTATTTTTTGCTAGGTAAATTTTAACTTGAAATCTTATGAAAATTCAGTATTCCCACCCTTTTACCAACACCACTAAATAGCTTATTTAAAGTAAAGTAAATGTATCAGGTTAATTTATTAGGATGAAAATGATCCAGAATAGTGAAAGGAATGATCTTGACACATTTATTAAATTTAATATTCCTTTAGAAAACAAAATCATCAAATACAAAAATCGGTTTTACTACTACGACCCGGTGTTGCTGCACACCATAGAGAACATGTCTTTCTTGTTTCTGTTTCTACTCATCACCTCCTTGCTGACCACCTGAGCTCGGATGTAGCCTTCCCTCCTCTCCTGGCTGTACACGTGTCTGCTGGCCTCGCTCACTTGCTGTACACAACGCTCTATACTCTGGGTGTGCGAGGGCCAGGCAGGGACATGCATGGGGTTGTCCAGGAAAGCTCTGACTTGAACATTGGTGAGGCTGCAGGTAGGGGGGCTCACTGCCAGCCTGGATGTTATCCAGATCTATGAGATCAGTGAGGGTCTTGGCACCTAGATTGACTTCAGGAGTCTTCCTGACCCTGAAGGAATCGTCACCAACTGATTCGTCATGCCCAGATCCTCTCATAAGTCTCATATCCAAGATCTTTTTGACTGCCACTCTTCTCTCCTCCTCATCCTTACTGCAGAGCATTGTCTGCAGAACTGCCTCGGGATGAGCATACCAGGAAGATCTCCTCACAGTCTACTCCACAATCTGAACAACCTTCCTTGGCTGACTCCTCAGGAGCTCAAGCTGGAAGAGAACATGCCTCGGACCTTCGGAGAACGATGACTTGACCTTGGTGTTGAACCAATTTGGCAAGTAGACACTCACGATGAATTGGACAATAAGTCGCAGGTTGTGAAGCTGGTTCCCTTTCAGTTTATGATGAGCGACCCAAATTCTGCAGAACCTGAGAGCCGTTGTGAGCCACCTAGAATGTGAGACTGGACCTATCTGCAGGTAAGCAAGTCTATCAGGCATGACCCCAGTTTTGATGGCACTGCAAATCATGTAACCATAGTACTGGTCAGTACTCACGTCGTCAATGACAGTATGTGCAAGCTCAACGAGTGGAGGGCCAACTGTGATTTTTTCAAAGCTCGGATTTATTTCTAACTCAGTGGCAGAGTCCAGCATCTTTCCAAGAGGACCAGACCATCTGTTGTTTGAAAGAGTCTTGCCATCCAGCTCCTGGATCAGATGTCTGAGTGGCAACTCGTTGGTGTGGAGGTCACAAACAATCCAGACCAGCTTCCGCTCTATCCACTGTATGACCCCCCCTTGCCACCCCGTGTTCGTTGGTGCTGTCCCCTCCAATGGCCTGCAGGGTCTGGTCTACGTTCCTCTCTCTGAGCCAGTTCACAATGTTATCTGCCACTATCTCAGCTGGTTCCTGATGTCATCTTTCTCTGGAGTGAAATGCCACAAATACTTCCCTCCTGGTTCACTGCAGCAGGAGTAGTGTTCCTCCTTCACCATGGCAGGGAACAACTTGTCAGAATCTCCAACTTTCATGAACACTTTAGTGTCATCCCTTCTCCCATCAAAGAACAAACAATTGATTCCATTTTCTCTTATCCCCTTATCAAACTCCTCTTCTAGGTTACTGACAAGTTTCTCCTGAGCTCTCCATACTTTGTTATGATCTATCACCAGGTGAACATCATCAGGTGTTATCAAACCACCGTCAATCCAGGCAGCTGTTGCTATCTCTGCAGTTTCTCTGAGACCAGTGTGGTGTCGCATGCTGGCCAGAGCTATGCTCGATATCTTTCCTATTTCGAATCTTATGCCTGGAAGGTTTGGGATCATTATTTTCTGGGTTAGGGACAAAGTCACCATTCTCCTGGTCAGCACTCGGATCAGCCATGGGGAAGTCATTAAACTCTGAATCAGCTTGACTCCAATCATTGGCCTTTTTACCTCACCCTGGGCCTTCTCAAGTCTCTTTTCCTCGGCAACTCTTCTCCTCTTCTGTCTCTCTGTGGCAGCCTCCTGTCTCTTGGACTCCGGAATATCTTGGCTAGAAATCATGAGAGCCCCTATACTGCCAGTCTTCTCTCTCTGTGCTTTGACAAATGCCAGTTCGATCACAGGAATCTTCAGTTCACGCTTGCAAATACAGGAGATGTGGGCCTCGGATTTACAGTCACGATCGCATCCAAACTCAGGACAGAGAACAATTGGGCACTTGCAAGTAATTGTGTCAAATAACTGGTCCAGTTGCTTGGCAAAGCTGTCCTTAACTGCAAGTTTTCCTCTCCCAAGAGAGATATCTCTTGCCTTTTCCTAACTGGCTAGCAGTCTCTCACTAATCTTCTTCTGACTTGTTATGACTGGAGGCTTGAACTGAGCATTAGCCAGAGTGTACTGTGCCAAGACAGCTTTGGTCATATCACTGGAAATGTCTTTGTTTGTGTAAGTTCTTTGGTTCTTTTCACTGATTTGCCTGATTAAAACACCGTATCTCAAAGCATCTCTCAATGTAGGCAACTCCGACTTCAGGAGCTCTCTCCCAGACCCAAAATAGTGACTGAGATGGCTGGATTTTTGGTTCCTCGTCCTGACACAAGCAGCCATCGTAAATAATATCAACTTATAAATGCATCAGAATCTGAAACAGTTATTTGGGTTGTTAAAGAATGAAGTCAGAAAGCAATGTTCACTATTTAATTGAAATGCACTAATGCAGCTGTACGTTAGATTTTCGATAAATTTCACGCTAAAATTTACCTAGCAAAAGGTTGCAAAATATTGAAACTGAAATTATTTTCTGTTTATATACACTAAAATCTACCAAAAAAGCGATGGGCCATTAGTTTTAGCTGATCTTCCCTCCTATGACACACCCTAGTGCAGTAACCTAACGATTTGGTGTGTGTGTGTGTGTACAGTATTTCCTCTGTCTAAACCAAAAAATATTATGAAATTTTAGATAATGATGTACATAGATATAGAGATAGATAGATAGATAGATAGATAGATAGATAGAGAGACAGACAGACAGACAGATAGATAGATAGATAGATAGATAGATATTTGTTCAGTAATATCGGCATAAGATTTGCATTGATTTAGCATTGCATATAGGCATTATTGGTATCCAATAAACATAAACACTGCAAGTATGCACCGTATAGTAACATAGATGATAATGTGCGACTCGACCAAGGAAAACAACAAAGTCATCACAGCCATTTTAGCAGGAGGGATCTTGTCTTAGACGAGGGCTAATGAGTGACAATAAATCCACAAAAATAGTCACATAAGTTTGTGGATCTACAGTATATCACAAATACGACATTCCACCTAGAATATCCAAATTGATGACCCATTTGTAAAATATAACATTTAGTTTCTTATAGCTTAATCGGCTATGCATGTTGGACCTCTGCTGTCTAGACGAAAGCGTATTTTACTTGCCTTAATGTTTTACCAGTTCATGTCCCAAATCCTTTCAAAGCTTGTTGTAAGATAATCTGAGCATAGTCCTCTGAGAATCTTAAGAACATAGTTATATATCAACTTTGTCAGACTACCTACCATACTTTATATGTCCAATGTTACCAATACAATCTCTAGCGTTCAATTTCCTAAATAAAGCTCATCATCTTGATATGAATAATTTGTGCAATTACAGCTCTTATTTTTTCTGTGAAGGTAGAATAAGTGTACGCAAGGAAACATTATTTTCTCCTCAGACGTCATTGAATAGAATCGCCATATTCCACAGGGGAGGTCTGGATGTCTTTCTTAGTGTGTACATCATTTATGGGCCTCATCCTGTGGCTGCTGCAGAAGGCGTGGTCGTGGGCGTCAGGTGAGCTCGGTGTCAGCCTGGTGCCCACAGTCTTCCATACCTGGGGGATTATGCTGTTAGCGCCTATCCCTACACTGCCTACTAACAGCACTGGCCGGGTAGGAACTATGTTATATGCTAATGACCATAAAATAAGATTTATAATAATTTGTTTGATAAAAAAAGAATTGGTAACAGGAGATGCTTAGATATCTGAAGAAATAACACGGCCAAGGAGGACAGGCATAGGATGGTGTTATAAAATTATTTAATAAATCAGCCCTATTTCTTTATTTCATACACATATCAATTCTAAATAAAATAATTATTTAAACCTTTCATGAATTTTCTTGGCATGAAAATACGTAATTTATATTTGTCTAGACCACCTATGGGTGTATTTAAAAGTCCTCCTCTGGAGTTATCCATTAAGTGTTATTTCAACTAACAAAATAAAACATTAGGTAGATTTATCGACAGAGAGTTATTGCGGTAAAGTGATGGATCATTATTGTGTGAGTGATGTTTATAGTGTGTGGTAAATCCTGGTACAGGTGTTGATAGGGTGGTGGCTCCTGGTGTGTGTGATCGTCACCACAGGCTACCGCTCCTCCCTCATCGCCCACCTCTCCGTCCAGGGCAAGTACCCGCCCATTAACAGCTTCCAGGATCTCCTAGACCGAGATGGCTGGTCTTGGGGTTCTTATGAATTTGCAGGAACTAATTTCCTCTACTTCAACGGAAGTACTGACCCTGATGTTCTAGAATTATATAAAAAAATGGAGGTTAGTGAACACGAAGTACCTTACGTTGATGCTGTCACATACATTTATATGAAAATATGAGTTTAAGTTCTTTCCTTCCAAGTACACACACAAACACACACACACACACACACACACACACACACACACACATACACACGTCCCATCTATCAATACGGATCTGTGCACCATCTCCCACACAATACTATGTAAAGCACAGGAACAAAATATACACTACAGAAAAATTAGGTCAAATAAGAATGAGCCAAGGTGGATGACCAAAATCTTAAACATGACATAGAAATAAAGAAAGGAATTTATAAGAAATTAAAGGGAGGGAATGAGTATATCAGTGATAGGTATGTCTTCTTATACCTATCCCTGAGATGCTCCTCCCCTCCCTTTAATTTCTTATAAATTCCTTTCTTTTTTCCTGTCATGCTTAAGGTTTTTGGTCATCCACCTTGGATCATTCATATATGACCTAATTTTTTTGTATGGTATATTTTGTTCCTGTGCTTTACATAGTATACTAGTAAATTTAATATAGTCGTCATCAACTCGATTTACTTATGTCGAACAGAGAAAATCTCATTACTAATGTCGAGGTAGGGAACGAACTTGCAAACAGCGGTCACACAGAAATTAGATTCCAATTAGAATTTCAGGACAGCCGTAAGTAAAATTCCACTAAAGTCCCAGATTTCAAAAGGGCTAACTTTGATAGTTTGAAGAGGCAGCTGAAAGAGGGGTATACCATTTGGGGGTGAACTACATGACCTCACATGAGGTGACCTCACTCAATGTACCCACAGACGGCGACCTCACCATACCCTGAGACCTGAAGGTTGAGATTGACCTGATAACGAGAACTGAGGTTGCCAGTTCCTCGGCAATTTAAATAATGAATTACTTAATGCACAAAGGCAGAACATACCATACAGAAAACTCAGATCAAACAACAATGACCCTAACTGGATAAATAATTATTTAAATAACATTATTGGACAAAGGAAGGCTATAGGTAGGAAAATAAATCATGAAGTTTACCTCTGAGATTACTATAAGGTATTGGCCGGTAGGGTTAAGACCGAGATAAGAAAAGCCAAGAGAAATAATGAGCTGAAGATAGCAAGGGAGGCGAAGTTAAACCCCAAGGAATTCTATAAAATGTGTCAAACTAAAACACGAAAAGATTAACATAAGAACATAAGAATGGAGGAAACTGCAGCGGGCCTATTGGCCCATACTGGGCAGTCCCATTTACACCCAACCCCTATTGCTCATATAAGCATCCAACCTATGTTTGAAGCTATTCAGCATATTCGAGTTAATGATGATATTTGGTAACTTGTTCCATTCATCCACTACTCTGTTTCCAAACCAGTGTTTACCTATTTCACGCCTAAATCTAAATTTGTCCAATTTAAAATCATTGTTACGAGTTCGCTCCTGGTTGGATAGTTTGAGTACCTTTGCAATGTCCCCTTTGTTTAGCCCTGACTTCCACTTATACACCTCTATCAGGTCGCCCCTTGTTCTACGTCTCTCGAGGGAGGGCAAATTAAGATGTTTTAACCTGTCTCTATACTCAAGGTTCCTAATGCCCGGGATTAGTCTTGTCATTCTCCTCTGAATTCTTTCCAATGATTCTATATCCATTCTGTAATACGGTGACCAGAACTGAACTGCGTAATCCAGGTGAGGTCTCACTAGAGCAAGATACAGTTTTAGGATGACCTCACTAGTCTTGTAACTAACACTCCTTTGTATGAACCCAAGTACTTTCTTAGCCTTGTTACGAGCAAAAACACATTGTTTACTTGGCTTAAGGTTCCTACTTATCATTACTCCTAAATCTCTCTCGCAGTCTGATTTCTCTATGGCATCGTTGTTCATTTGGTATCTGGTTTCCCTGTTTACATCTCCTATACTGAGTACTTTACATTTGTCCACGTTGAATTTCATCTGCCATTTTTCAGACCATTCGAAAAATTTGTTTAGATCTTCCTGTAGTTTTGCTGAGTTCTCGTCAGATTTAATAACACGTCCTATTTTAGTGTCATCAGCAAATTTACTTATGTTGCTGTCTATGCCGATATCTATGTCGTTTATGTATATAATAAATAATAATGGTCCAAGTAATGAGCCTTGGGGAACTCCACTTGTGACGTTGCTCCAATGGGACTTAGTGCCGTTAATGCTCACTGTTTCCTGTCCTGTAACCACGCCCTAATCCATTTAAGGATGTTACCTTTGATGCCATGAGCTTCTACCTTTCTAATTAGTCTTTCGTGGGGGACTCTGTCGAAGGCTTTGCTAAAGTCGAGATATACCACATCATAATTGTGCCCCTCGTCCACCGATTCGAAAACTGATGAAAAGAATGTTAATAGATTAGTTAGACAAGAACGTCCGCTTGTGAAGCCATGCTGGGAATCATTGATCAGTCTGTGCTTCTCCAGGTGATTTCGAATAGAGTTTGAAATGATTGCTTCCAGTAATTTGCCTACTATTGATGTTAGACTGATTGGGCAGTAGTTAGAGGATAGTGATCTAGCCCCCTTCTTGAAAATCGGTATTACATTCGCTATCCTCCAGGATTCTGGTACTACACCTGTTTTTAAGGACATGTTAAACAACTTTGCTAAGGGCATACTAAGCTCTTCCTTACATTCCTTTAATACTCTGGCAAATATCTCATCGGGACCAGGTGACTTCTTAGGCTTTAGTTTGTCTATTTGCTTACTAACATCGTTACTCATGGCATTAAAGGTGATATTCTAAAATGGATTAAGGCGTGGTTACAGGACAGGAAACAGCTAGTGAGCATTAACGGCACTAAATCCCATTGGAGCAACGTCACTAGTGGAGTTCTGCAAGGCTCAGTACTTGGACCATTATTATTTATTATGTACATAAACGACGTAGATATCGGCGTAGAGAGCAACATAAGTAAATTTGCTGATGACACTAAAATAGGACGTGTAATTTAATCTGACGAGTACTCCGCAAAATTACAGGAAGATCGAAACAAATTATTTTAATGGTCTGAAAAATGGCAGATGAAATTCAATGTGGACAAATGTAAAGTACTCAGTATAGGAGATGTAAACAGGGAAACCAGATACCAGATGAACAATGATGTTATTGAGAAATCCGACTGCGAGAGAGATTTAGGAGTAATGATAAGTAGGAATCTTAATCCAAGTAAACAATGTGGATTTGCTCGAAACAAAGCTAATAAAGTACTTGGGTTCATACAAAGGAGTGTTAGTTACAAGACTAGCGAGGTCATCTTAAATCTATATATTGAGCTTGTGAGACCTCATTTGGATTACGCAGTTCAATTCTGGTCACCGTATTACAGAATGGATATAGAATCCTTGGAAAGAATTCACAGGAGAATGGCAAGACTAATCCCTGGCATTAGGAACCTTAAGTGCAGAGACAGGTTAAAGCATCTTCATTTGCACTTCCTCGAGAGACGTAGAGTGAGGGGCGACATGATCGAGGTGTATAAATGGAAGTCAAGGCTAAACAAAGGGGA